GACCGGGTGAGACCGAGGTGGGGGAGAGGGGGAGACTAAGAAATGGTGTGTGAAAAGTAAGAAGGTGCGTGTGAACAGGTAGTTATTAATTATTTAACACGTTTATAGTTTATTGATTATATACAAAATTAGTTTTCCCAATTTAGCCAATTATTTATTGTTAATTATTCATTTATTGATAATAATATTAATAATAAAGGTATTAATTATTGTTGAATAATCATTTTTTTTAATATAAGTATATTTTCAATATACTAAGTCATCATCATCTCTAATTACTAAGTATTATTTATAAGGGCACATACAGTAGAAAAAATTGTTAGATTATAAAAAAAAAATATTTTTCTTTGCAGCATCATTTATTTCAACAGCATAAAAACAATGTGTGCCCAAAATTTGTTAGTTTATATTTATAAATTGATTTTAATTATTAATTTGTTATGAATAACAGTGATATTAGCTCTTATTTGTTATTACAGTATTAATTAGTTTTTTTTCCACTGTCAGCAGAGTAGGCCTATTCAATTTTTTTTTATTCAGATTTTTTACTTTTCATACTGTAGCTACAGGTTCAACTCAAAATTACTGCGAAAACAATTTTTGCACTTTAAAACTAATAAAATTTACGCAAGGTAGAATCAAGGGCGTCGACCTGTGATTGAAAGTGGGGGGACGAATTGCAAAATAAGGAAGTCTTGGCCGCAGGCCCAAGCCTTTGCTGGAGCCGCGGGCCCGCCTAAGGCCCCCATGGGGGTCCGGGGGAGGGGAAGCCTCTGAAAGCTCGGACAACTTTTTAAGTTAAGTTAAGTTTTTAAGTCTTATCAAATTGATTTTAAGGAATGTATTTAACATTTATTTCCACACTACATTTTCAAAATACAATGGCGGATCCAGGAATCCGAAACAGGGGGCATGAAGGGACTTTTACAGATGGAATATAACCACTATGGTTGGGGGCTGAGGAAAGAAAATTTATGATAATATAGTTGGCTGGAAATGGCACTCTCAAACTTAATTTGAATATATAATTTTCTCTTTTCGCCACTTTAAAATTTTGAAAAAAATAGGGAGGATGGGCGGGCTAGGCTCCCTTGAATCTGCTACTGAAACACTCATCATAAAAATTTTATTTAAAAAAAAATTTATACTGAAAAGAGGTTTTTCTTTTTCTTATATTGTGAGTGAGTAAAAATACTACCGTTTAATTTGCAATCCAACAGGACTTGGGAGATTTGAAGCACACAAAACATTAACATTTTTATTTCACAAACATAGGTGGTTTATTTAATTTTTTATTATCATGACGTCAAAGATTGCATCAACGTACATTGGAGTTCGTAAACTTGTGAAATAGATAGACCTATCCGTATCAAGGCTGTATAATTATTGTTAAATTCAATTTACTAATTAGGAAAATAGGAATCTATGTATGCAGACAATATTAAACACTAGTATATACGGGTTTTAATAATATAGAAAAGAAATAAATCGTTTATAAAATTGTGCAGTTTTGAGTTTGTAAGAAATATGTTGGCCTGATAGGTTTACACGCTTTCAATTTTAACAACGTACAGTACATTTTCACGATAAATTCAGCCTCTGACAACCATTGCACCGAGATGGTTGTGAAATGTACAAAGAATTACGTTTTTACTCGGTTTTGGTCCGGAATATGCTCTGCACTTGGAACAGAGCAAAAGTGAACAGAAGACAAAATTTGTGACAGTCATTCGTACCGGTAATTGCTGTTGTTCTTTTCACTCGCTTTGAAAAGTGGGATTTTAACTATAGAAGATTGGTGAAATGTAGGAGGGACAATTGATTTGAAAAATGGAGGGGATGTGTCCCCCCTGTCCCCCACCGATCGACGCCCATGGGTAGAACGATGCTGTGAAAATGATTTTTTTTACTTTAGAATTTCAACATCAGATTTCTGTCAATGAGAAGATAATGCAAAGTAGCGGGTTGGTAATTACAATGTTTTGGTCTTGCTAACTGTAATCAAAAAATGGAAAAGGTTGCATTTTCATGTCATGCAGCCTAATAACATTGGTTATTACCTGTATTAATTTTAAGTTATTACAGGCAATAATGACTGTCTTATAGAATTCCTCCATGCTTATAGGTATCAAAAATACTCAGTACAGTATTTAAGATGTCTGAACCAAATTGCAAGAAAGCTAGAGGAGATGGAAACAAAACTGTAGTGCTGGCCTATAGCGGTGGGCTGGATACATCCTGCATATTGGTCTGGCTTCTGGAGGAAGGTTATGATGTTGTGTGCTACATGGTAAGTATTGAAATAATTTGAAAATAGCACAAGGGTTTGTATATTTTCACAAATTTCATTGATGTTTTTATTAAAAATGAACTACAGGTCTCCCTCCAATTAAAGACCATTTTTGGGACTAGGGTTTCCTGTTCAGCAGCTGTAGTCAATAATTAGAATAATTAATATAAAAGTCGTTTGTTGCTTTAGGACATCAGACTTTAATTGGAGGTCACGGTGGTCTTTAATTGGAGGGTCTTTAATTAAAGGGAGACCTGTATTTACATTTGAAGACTTTTTTTGGCTTTAGTGTAGGCCTATGGTGACAATTTGTAGTATAAAATTATTAAAATAGACAGAAGAAAAAGACACTCAAATAATTATAATCAAATATATCTTACAGATGTACTATCAGTCAAAACAGAAAAAATACCTCAAAAATTCAAATAAAAATTTGAATAGCTCATTTACAAGGATTAAGTAAATTATTAGCTTCCACCAAGAAGTAGATCGAAAAAAAAAAAAACTGTTTTCACAGAATTACAGACACTTTATTACAAAATATCCTTAAATTGGCTAGTAATCAATTTTGAGGTATTTTCCTGACTTTTGGCTGATACATTGTGATGATTAACATTAATTGTTTTAAAGGCAAATGTAGGTCAAGATGATGACATCAAAGAAGCGGAGGATAAGGCTATAAAGCTGGGAGCAAAAAAGGTAGGGTAATTTTTTTTTATTAAATATTTTATAATTTATTTTTTTATTATTATTTTGTAATTATGGAAAATGTATTTTGTTATAATAAAATAATGCTTTTTAAGTGGTGAGGATTTCTTGTCTTAATTTTTATTTGTAAGCTAAAGATTTTAGTACGGAAAATTGCATAATGGAAGATGAAATAAAAGGAAAATTCTTCCATTTTATCACTGATATTTATTGCCAGTGGTGTTACATTCATATTTTGTATATTTCTTGTGAAACCTTCACTATTATTGCCATACATGTTAGTGCCATCATCTTACTTGCAGTGAATTGATTTTATATTTTCTTATGGGGGCATCATGCCTATTAATGTATCAGTAATGTTTTTCAAACCTAATTCCTGTTGTATCGTTCTAAAACCATTAACAAAATACACAAAATGCAGTAATAAAGGAGAGATAAGAAAGCATGAAACCACAGACTCAAGGTTTATTATAGGGAAATTCCCAGTATGAAATACAATATTTACCTTACAAAGTATATCAACATTTAAAAACATCGAATTAAAAACAAGAACAAATTAAAAAAAAAAACCAAAGAAACAACAATTTTTTGGGACGGCCACTTTCCCGTGACGGCTTGGACTGCTTGGCCTACTTAGCTCGACCTAGCCTAGTTGTGCCTGGTCTACCTTTAGCAAATTCTTTTCGAATATATCAAATGTTGCATTAAACTAAAGCATATTTTGGACAGCCTATTACGTTTTTCTGGCTTAACCTCTGTTCCTGATAATATTAAAGGTCAATATCAGGTAAAATATTATGAACATTTTTAATATACCTTGTGAGTGAATGGAAATTTATGATTTTTATATATAGAAATCTGCATTCAAAAGGTCGTCATAAAATAGCATTAGGCCCTAACATGTAATCCTGTGGTTATAGCAGTTGGCTTTGCCTTGCACTTCACAGTCATTCCTTGTGGGACATCAACAAGAAACAAATGGTTACCAAAAGGCTTTTGTCTGGCCATGCACACAATATTGAATGATATAATTTATAACTTCTAACAGTACCCTTCTTGATAATGAATAAACTGTATCTTTATGTATATTTTCAGTCATATCTGTTGACTGAATGGCTATGTTTCAAAAACTTCAATTGTAGGGGAATAGTGTGGTATTGTAGTGTTCTACCATGGACCTATTAATAAGAAATACTATTACCGGTACTTATAAATATGTCCATGGTTCTATTATTTATTTTATTTAGTATTTAATAAAAAAAAATAAAACCCACTTCTGGGTTGGCTTCAGTTTTATGGATACAATTTATTGGCTAGGCCTACAGTTTATCAAAAAAATACAACAAAAATGATGTGCAGTGACCTTATGAATTAACATATATAAAATCACCTTACTATTTAGAAGAAATTTTTATTATCAATGCAATAATTATGTCAATGGTATTCTGTTAGGCAAGAAAATCAATTTGAATATTTGGTTGTAAATAAGTACCCCTACTCAATAAATATACTGATAATTAGGCATATTCCCAACTATAGTACAAAAGGATAAAGATTAATATTCATATTTTATTTATTACAAGTTATTACTCTGTTTGAATTTCTGATTATATATAAAGAGAACCACAATTCAAATACTAATAAGTCTGCTAATTTACATATTTTAGCTGTTAACACTGTTAATATATATTATATAATATAGGCTACATAAATCGATTCAGCGAATTTATAAATAGCAGTGATTTTGAATGTATTAATCAGGTGTTTGGTTACAATGCTGGAGTTGTAGCACAGACTAGTTTAATTAAAATTTATGTTTGATCTGTAGGCTAAGCTGCCGTAGCGATAATTTAATCTTTGACTGTTGCTGAGTAAATTCTTAATTGTTTGGCTGTATAGGTTTTCAGTAGAAGGGAAATGGTGGTAGTGCTTTAATTCTCATGGATGCTGTAATGATTGAAAATGATAATAAAAATAATAAGTGTAATACAATAATAATATTGATAATATTTAATAATAATTAATAAATAATATTTAATAAATACATTTGACCAATATTGTAATTGAATTATATATAGGGAGGGAGTTGGTAATTCTAGGAAGTTATTATTAAGTGTTTTGAATTGAAAAATTTTAAAAATAATATATTCCTTTTTAAATTTCAACTTTGTAACCAGGGCCCTAAAGGAGACATTTTTTTTTTACTGATTTTGCCTATTGTATCTTTTGCTTTAAATTGGCCAATTTCCTTTAGGTATTTAATTTCCACCTTCTACATACTCATTAAGTAATATGTTGTTAACATTTACTGAGTGTTATTGTTTGATTTAATGTAAAAAGTAATACTGTTAATAATATTTCAGACTCAAATAAAGCATAAAAACCAAAGGTAGGCCTATTAATTATCCCTCATAAAATGAGCGATTCTAACTGATAAACAAGGCTTCTGGAGGTCGCTTCGCTGTAGTGAATATCAGCCGGTTAATTTTTTTTTGTTTTTTTGTGCAAAAATGTGGCCTAAGAATCCATATGGTCGGCGAACGTTTAATGTTTTCGGAGACTGGTATAGAACTTGTCATGTCTTCCTTTCTTTGTGCAAGTGTAACTGTGTGCGAAGCAGCTTTTCCTGAATTGGCCATTTTTTCCACAAAGTATTAAAAACACTAGTTTTTTTTTTTTTTTCTATCATATTGATCTTAATCCTTATGTTTGCTTCTCATCGTGTATACCTAACCAATTGTTATCAGCTTGGGCGTCCATACAACTCTCTGGTAAGACTCATCCTGAAGGAGTATTTTCAAACCAAACATGTCTACTCATGATAAAACTTAAAGTCAATGTTAAAGTTTTTATTTTCGATCTGCTATTTCACAGCTGAACTAAGACTACCAATTACTTGGCGTTTGTCAATTGGTTGATAACAGATTTAATTCTAGATCTGGATGGGGTCACCCCTACTTCACATTGGCCCAGTGTTGTGTTTTTGGCTTCAAAAAAATATTCGTCGAATGTTTATTACTTTTAGTTTCTTTAAATATTGTTTTTATAATTTTTTTCAGACGGGCCAAAATAATTTGCTTCACGGGCTAAATTTGGTCCGTGGGCCACCTATTAAGAACCAGTGCAATACACTTTATTGTGATAAATTATTCTATTATCTATCTGTCCATCCATCTATCTCTCCATTTATGGTGTGTGTATACATCCATCATGTACTGTACTATATCCATCACCTATGCAATTCGATGTAATCTCTTTTATCTTTTATTTGCCAGTGTTTTTTTCCGCATGATCAGTCAAGGTTTATGTAATAGCACAATAATATTGTTCCGTATTGATTTCGCCTGTGTTGATGTGCCAGTTAGCTATTCAAAGCAGTCTTTTTTGGATTTGGACAGGATGTAAAATTCAATCCAAGGGATTTGAAAGTGCTCGACAACAACACTGCACTTTCAATGTACAGACTCTCTGCTGTCTGGTCCTTTCTTTCTTTGTGTTAAGGTTAAACATTAAAAAAATTGCTATCCTGCTATAAACTGAGATGTAGTAATTTAGTAATAATAATAATAATAATAATAATAATAGCATAATAATAATAATTTATTATTATTTTTAAAACTATATATCAATAGGAATGTATAAATGATTTAAAAAAAAATGTATTCATATAAGAGAACACATTTTAAAAACAAACACATGAAACAATCGTGTCATATAAGGACACAAAAATAAGAAAAAAAAAATTAAAATATTTATTAATAAATAAAAAAAGTTTCCATAGGTTTTTGTTGTTCATCAGATTCCTCTTCTGTTGCATTATATAAATTCCACTGGGTATTAGGAATTAACCAATAATAGTTGTTTTGTAAAATTTAAAATAACTGCTCTCCTGAAGCCATGTTTACTTGAGACTAGGAGCATCACATTCCATATTTAATTTCTGCCGTCAATCAGCTTTTTTCTGAGAGTCACTTTAAAGTTCATTCTCTGATAAATGATACCTTGAACTTCTATTATTAACATAAATGATCTAACTAATGAACATTCATTAAAATTGATGACTGATAATGGTTAACGAGGTACTCATCAGCATTACACATCATTAGGCTGCTAATGGTCCTTCTTGAAGTGTTTTACAGTATCAAAGACACCATTTCCACCTCTACTGTACGCCTGATATGCTGCTATTTCGACAACAGAAAAATAAAGTACATAAAGCAATTAGCGTACTGTATGAATCCTATTATTTGTGATGTGCCAAACACGTACAATATTTTTAAGCACTTTGTAATTACTCGCCATCGTGTTGGGATTCAATATTTCGACATTAATCAGGGTTCGTACGGGTCATGGAAAACCTGGAAAGTCATGGAATTTTAATATCATGTTTTCCAGGCCTTGAAAGTCAGGGAAAATATGGGACAATAATTAAAAGTCATGGAAAGTCATGGAATTTGGTAATATTACAGTATGTGATCTCTCATGTAAAATGGTTCAAAAGTCATGGAAAAGTCATGGAATTCTGGCTAGAAAAGTCATGGAAAATCATGGAAATTAACTCATGAGAAAGTGTATGAACCCTGTTAATTATGTCATCATCAGGAATGATGTCATCATCATTCCTGATGATGACATAATTAACGTCGAAATATTGAATCCCAACACGATGGCGTGTATTTCAATACTTGGAGTATGTATTATACTTTCTTATCTGAGATTAATCAGTGGACCTTTCGGTTTTTGTAATTACTGTATTGTTAATTCAATATCAGACACACAGTACTACTTAATACTGCACAGTCCAGATTCAAGATTATATTATTGTCCAAGATGAACATTTTGAATCTCTTCTTTAGTCTGTGTCTTTTAAATTAGCTTTCCATTAGTTACATTTTAAAGAAAAAAAAATTGTAGAAAATGATATGTAACATCTACAGTACTGTACTGTATATGGGTCATCAATGTGAACACATTACTGTATGTGCAAATTTGTGAGGCACATCAAGCACAAAAGTCTTTGTTTCCGACTTGCAATTTTGTAACACTTGCTATCTTCAACAATAAAGGTTTTTTTAAAATGCTTTTAATAGAAATTTAAATAATATATGGGTCATCAATGTGAACACATTACTGTATATGCAAATTTGTAAGGCACATCAAACACGAAAGTCTTTGTTTCCGACTTACAATTTCGTAAGACTTGGTATCTTCAACAATAAAGGTTTTTTTGAAATGCTTTTAATAGAAATTTAATAGATCTTGAACTAACCATCAAATTGATGAGTGCCAGTGTTACTCAAAATATTTAAAAATCGGCTGGTATTTGCAATTCTTGTTGATATTTTTAAAAGTATAGAATATAGAATTCTTCAGTCTGAAATATCCTGTTTTGAGAAAGCTGACAGCAATATATTAGCAGCTGTATTTACAGCACGTCCCAGGCTCGCAAAGCTTTGGAAAAAAGCTTCTCTCAAGAGCAAGTGTGTACACTCAGGTAGATGTCCTAATGAAGCTAACAAACATACGCATCTTAAAGGAAGACTGTTCCAGATGGTATTGTGTCACACAAACAGTACATTCTATAATTCGATGACATTATGTATAAATCGCATGGAATTGGTATATGGTATGTCCTATATTATAAGCCAGATGGGAGTAAAAATTACATGTTGCTTTTCAACTGGCCCAAAAAAATTATTGTGGGCAAAATGCTGATTATGTCGAGAGAACCACTTTAAAATTTACCTGTAAAGTCGCTATGGAAACCCATTGACAGTTATTGTAAGTGATGCATTTGTATTTGAACACATAATGGATCATGCCTGCGGGGTTCATATTTATTCCTACTGCTTCATGGATAATTGTTAGTAATGGCAGTCACAAAAACATCTTAAAATTCAGTGAAAATTAAAATTTGATTGCTTTGTTAGTGATTTACACTGCTTTGTCTATTGTATGTCATTACCTGTATATCTTGCATTGTAATTGCCAAATGTGGGATGGAGAAAGTTGTTTGCATTTTACAATCTGCAATAAACTTTAATAATAACAATGGTAACAATAGAAATCTATACTACACCATTTTAACAAAATTATCAAAGTCACCAAGTGAACAATAATCCAGAAAAAAATTGAAGTTTAACAAAGGTAACAGACAGTTTATTAAAAAATATTGAATGCCTAAAATATGTACCACTTAATAAAAAATGGGAAATCATACCTGTAACTTGGTAAAAACTGTAGAACAACACCTATCCTTTGAGAGAGACCCCCTATTAAGGGGACAATTTTTGGCTGTGCATTGGGGGAAATTACATTTTTAACACTGTGACCAACCTCTATTAATAAGGGTTTTACTGTATTTTTCTATTGATTATAATAACATTCATTTGGAAATGGTTTAAAATTTCTGTGACATCATAAATATTCCCATAATTATGAAAAAAATATATTGCCCCTTTTATAATCAACTGCACCCTAACTGTATGCAAAGTCAAAGTATATCAAACACTCAAACAATGCTCACTTATCTTTACTATCATTTTTTATCTTTTTTTTTAAGGTTAATTTTTTTTGTAATTGCAGTATAAAACCTGTCCAGACACTAATTTTATTTGACAAAAACATGTGACATGCCTAAATATGGTCATGATGACATCACATCATAACCATATATAGGCACATCATGACTATATATAGGCATACAGTTTTTTGTCCAAGAAAATTTGATAATCTGGATAAGGCAGAATTCTGGCATGTGGCATACTCTAATTACTATTTCTCACAGTTAAGATTTAATCATCTGCTATTTTCAATCATATTGTTGCTAATAAAATCGAACATGGGCTATAATCTGTTTTGTACACTGCAAATAAATTCACAAAAGTACTGTCCAAACAATGTAAGTGTTAACACAATCAAATATTATAGTAGCAATTATAAAGGGATTACATCAATTTTAGAGGTTTTAATCAAGTGTAAAGTGTTTAACAGATCAGGATTGAGTTCAAAAGATGTAGAGTTCAAATCAGAGAACTAAGAAAGAAAGTGAGGTTTTGAGCAGGAGATGTGAGAAAATTAATGTGGTGAGAATTTAAATGATTACTGTTGTTGTTACTGTTATTAATACACTATCCAATAACTTGTATTATTTTTTTTCCCAATTAAACTACTGTAAATATTAATGAATTATATTAACTTTTTTTCAGTTTGTTTGCTTGGATTTGCGTAAGGATTTTGTGACTGAAAACATCTGGCCAGCCGTGCAAGCCAATGCAGTGTATGAAGACCGCTACTTGTTGGGCACTGCCCTTGCAAGACCATGCATTGCTAAGGGAATGATTCAGGTTGCTAAGGAAGCCAAAGCAGCTTACATATCCCATGGTGCAACAGGCAAAGTAATGTGTTATTTTCTAATATACACATAGTACTGAATGTATAATAAGAATCTTTTAATGTAATATCTGGTTATTTTGCACAAATCTACCCACAAAAATACCATAAGATTAATATCTGGCCATTCTCTCTATATGTCTAATATACAAAAGCATTTCATTTTAAAAACAATACTCTGATAATGTTGAGGGCTGTTTGACACAGCAGTTTTCATTGTGGTTTTTAACTTTATTGTTGGCCGGTGATCTTGGACACCTCAACTTGCACTGCTGATAGTCGTTCATGCTGTGGATGCAAGCATGACATATACATATCTTAGCTTTGAACCACTGATTAGCCCATTAGAGCTAAAGAGTAAATTAATCTACATTTGGCTCATTGACTTTCATCTTGGCCAATGTGGCTATTGTTCATTTCGGTAATTTAAATATAAAAGAATTACTTGTTTTACCTTATCACCATCAGAATTAATATTCTCTCAGATGGCTGTGCTTTTGCCATCTTTATTACTCCCTGCATATTGGATGCTTTTTGGTGTTTTTTTCATTTGCTTTTGGTAAATAGCATATTTCAATTTTATTTTATGTGTGGTTACCTTTTTATAGGGGAATGATCAGATCCGGTTTGAACTGGCTTGCTATGCACTGTACCCTGAAGTTGAGGTAAGTAATTACTCAAGACCTGTCATTCATTTCAGTATAGTAAAAACACATAAGAATGTGGCACAGCAGCAATTCATTGGGTTTCCAACTGAATGGGTATAAGTGTGAGTCCATACTGGCAGTTTTTCTTGTGTCTCTGGGCTAGACACTTTGAGTTGAGCTTTTGGATAAATGGTAATGTTCTGCTTTATGAGTAAAGCTAGATCTCAGTTCAAATTCAGCTAGTGTCTGTTTTTTTTAATTGGATTCTCATTGCTTGGTTTCTAAAGTAACCCTCATGTGGGGACAATGTATCCATTATAATGTTGGTATCTCCCAAGACAGTGGGCTCAGGTAAAATTCAAAATTCAATAAAAAAATTAATATGAAAAATATGTTTATTTTTCTTTTATTTTCACTATGTTTGTCTAGGGATATGTAGTTCCTAGAGAACAGAGGGGTTGCATGTTATGTTTGATTGATTCAATATCCAATGACTAGTGCCTGCTACTGGTGCATCAATACTGTATCCAGTACTGTGGACCCAATGACAAGGGATACAAAACCCTCCGTAACTGCAAATAAAAGTGCTGTACAGGCAACTAGTAAAAAGTACCTAATTATTTGCCATTCAATTTTTTTCATTAGATAGTTGCTCCTTGGAAGATACCCAAATTTTACAACCGATTCCAAGGACGAAATGATCTATTTGATTATGCAAAGAAAAATGGAATTCCTCTTCCAGTCACACCTAAGAAGCCATGGAGCATGGATGGGAATCTTATGCATATAAGCTATGAATCAGGAATACTAGAAAATCCAATGGTTAGTTTGAATTTTCCAATTCCTGATATGGTAATTTCACATGTTATGCCATGGAAGAATAAACTTAAAAACTTATTCCTCCAATGATACATCAGTACCATGTGTTCAGTACAGTTGCCATCTATATAATAGCCAATCACATGGATGGAGACCTCAGGATTTTATCATTTTTAGACAGGATGAATGTAGGCTCACACAAATAATAATCATGAATATTAGAACAATATTTAAATTTAATTATATTTGAATTTTTTCTACTTTTTTCAGACGCAAAATCATCATTTCTGAAAAAAATTGTTGTTTCTTTACAATTTTTTACATCTTCTTTAATACATATTATTTTCTAGACTACTGCTCCACATGATATTTATCAAATGACAACTGACCCAAAAGAAGCACCAAAGGAGCCAAGTACCATTGAAATTGAATTTAAAAATGGTGAGAATATTTCACAATCAGATTAACTAATGACTGAGAGCTTGTTAACATGATTTCTGATGTTGTATGTTGTCATCGTACATCAACTAATATATGTCATTTTCCTATATTACCAAATTTCGGTGTGGAATCATGAAGGCCTCATTATCTGCGTGCCAGCCATTAATCTGGAGAAGTTAAAGGCACTCACAGCACCTTCGAGCAGTGGACATTTCTGCTAAGGCCCACCCCTTGGGTTGTTGCTGAGATCCTACAAAAAGATACCATAAATGTACATAGACATGTGTTAGTAGGACACATGTGTGTTTGTGGTACAAGTATGTAATCTTAGCGATGTTCTCATTGGTCATTTGTAAGCTTGACTGACCCTGTGGACAGGTCCATTTGTTGTCAGGCAATAACAGCTCCTTCAGCTCACTATTTTCTAATCAGTGCCCGCACAAAAACTTTACAATAATTTCTTAATATGGATTCTTTCCAAAAAACCACCAAAGCTCAGTTAACTAAATCCTTTCCGAGCCACTGGGGCTCATAGGGCTGGAGCTTATCCCCAGTTTCTGTAGTGTGAAGCGGATGAGAATTGTACTCCCCATGGACGGGACACTAGTCCATCGCAGGTTAGTCCCCAGCAGTTTCCTGGTACCCATTGATACAGCTGGGTGGACTGTAGCAATGTAGCTAAAGTGCCTTGCCCAAGGACACAAACGAATTTGCACAGCAGAGACTCGAACCTCCGACCTTACGATTGAAAGCCCAAACGTCAACCACTGCGCCAAACTGCTGCAATCATCAAAAAAGCAAACATTACCATACGAATTATCATTAAAATCAGCTTTGTTTTCATTAATCATTGTCAGTACCTTCATCATCATTGTAATCATTATCTTTAATTATTCCTATGTAACATCATCATCATTCATATCATTAATCATCATCACCAATATAATAATAATCATCATTTTCAAACATCATTAACATCAACATCAGTTTTACCATCATCGCTGTTTGTTCAAACATCATTCTTCATCATCATATCATGCCATTCTGCTTCATTTTTCTTACTAGGTGTACCTATCAAAGTAACCAATGCAGAGGATGGGGTCACCAAGACAGAGCCACTGGAACTTTATTCTTACTTAAATGAGATTGGGTGAGAGCCACAGTGTAAATAGTACTACAGCTATATTTTTCAAGGAGGACTCTATAATAATTTATATATTATTTGTCATTACATATTCATTTATTTATGTCTATTTCAAATCAGAGCTGATCATTTGGAGGACCTAAACAATAGATTACATTAAACAATTAAATTTAAAAAAATTATTTTTTTTGCAGAGGCAAACACGGAGTTGGTCGTATAGATATCGTTGAAAATCGTTATATTGGGATGAAGTCAAGAGGTGTTTATGAGTGTCCAGCAATGACCATTCTATTGCAAGCTCACCTGGACATTGAGAACCTCACCTTAGACCGGGTAAATTATATTTTATAAGTTATAAAGTGGAAATGTTCAGCCATTTTGAATGTGTGTAAAAACAATTCTAAAATAATATAAGAAAATAATAATTATATTATTACTTGGCTTTTTAGGAATTTTGAAATTTCTCCACCATCTGGCTTACTTTGTTAATTTTTACGTTTGTGTCATGGTATTTATGACCTTCTTCCTCAAAAAACCTTTAGATACTAGGCAGCCCTAGGTGAGTATTTAAAGGTAGCAATTTTAACTGAATGAAGAACTATAATTTACAGTACTCTATTTGCATCTTCTGATGATGCCTGTGCTGATTATTTAAAATCAATTTAAATTTATTTCATTTACAATATGGATTGCCTAACAAAATATTCAAATTTGTTATATAAAACATATGGTTGTTAAATGTTAGATAGCACATAAAACTCACAGCATTCAAGGTTAAGTGAATACTTGATATAACACATCAATAGTAGATGTACACAGACAGGCTGTCAGGGTATTGATCAATAAATACATCTGCAGTACATTATCCTAGCTTTCCTGCTAAAATCAAACAAAATAACAGTTATAATGGCATAAATAACATGGTTCATAAATTATCTGACAACCCATCACTTAATACTGTCTGAGATGCGCTAAGAACTAATAATATAGAGGTTTACCTCTACTGTTTATGGGGTTTTTGGGGGGATTTTTTTTTTTTTTGTGTTTGTTTTTTTTGTAGCACATTCAGGAAGCTTCTAAATGTTTGCTTGAACTTTTTAATTTGCTTTTTAAATCTCCTCTTTTTATTTTCACTGGGATCCCACAGGATAGAAACCTGTGGATTTAGAGGGTCATCCTTTGCTTCCCTGTCCTCCTTTTTGTCCTCTTTTCCTTCTTGGTTTCTTTTTGATGTACTGTCTACTTGTCCTTGGAAACTGTGTTCCCATTTTTTTTCCTTGTCAGTTTTTCCCTCAAATATTTATGTGTTTTCTTTGTATTGGTAATTTTTTTTATGTTTTCTCTTTTTTTGTACCATCAACTTTTTCAGTTGTTTTAAATAGCTTTTGGTGTATTTTTCTGAATTCAATTAATGATGTTGATTTTCTTCCCTTAATAAGTTCTCTCTTTGTTGTATTTGTTGATGTTTTGTGAACATGAAATAAAAAAAAAAAAAAATTAAAAAAATTAAGTAGCATCTTTTCACCATTTGTTACCTCCTTTTCTAACTTTGTGATTGTGAAATCCAAAGAATGTCTCAATGTGATGTAATATACAAAAGATTAATAATTATTATAATTAATAATAACCTGAAGCCATAATACCATACTAAGTATGCTAGTCACTGGTAGCCAAATATTCTGTCAAAGAATGACTAATAATAATAATAGTAATAATAATTGAATTGATAGGATCCCATTTAATGATTTAAATAATCTTATACATTTTTCTTTTAAAGGAGGTGCGTCGTATGAAGCAAGATATTTCGGTGCGCTTCTCGGAGCAAGTGTACCGTGGTTATTGGTACAGTCCAGAGTGCGAGTTCTCAAGATTCTGTATCGACAAGAGTCAGGAGTTTGTAGCTGGACGTGTGATTCTATCAGTGTACAGAGGCCAAGTCTACATTAGAGGCAGAGAATCTGCGTATTCACTATATAATGAGGAATTGGTCAGGTATTGCTTACAACTTATAGTTAATGTTATTTGCAGAATACCCATTTCAATAGGGAGGGGAGAGAAGAGGGACACAGGGGTGGGTTCAACTTTAGATGTTAACATTGTGTTCTATTAAAATGATTTAAGATCTTTATTATCATTATTTTCATCTGTAATGATAGTATGATAATTACTTTAATTTGAGTTTTTACTATTAGTAGTTATTTTACTTTCCTTTAAGAACTTCTCATATTTCAACAAAACACGTATTATTCTAATCTAATCTGGTCATTTATAAAGCACCTTTCTTAACAGATACGAAGAGTTGTAAGTTTTTCCCTGGTCATTGGGGCCACATGCTTAAGTGTTGCTGCGATTTTTGCACAGGAGCAGGCAACCCCACCAGGTACCAATTTATACTCCTGGGTGGAGAGAAGCAATGCAGATGAAGTGCTTTGGTCAAAGACAAAAGCGAAATGCACAGTGAGAGATTGAAACCCCTGACCTAGAGGTTGGGAAACCAAACCGTTCCCGTGCTGTGCAAAACCGCTTCCACAAAGCTTCCACTTGTTTTTAATACTGAAGATCATAGGAAATGATTATAAGGAATGTTAAATACCCAAAATTAGCTAAAATCTTGTGAATTATAATCAAGATGTACGTCTGCATTATGTGTGTACTAACATACATAATTTCTGAATTTGTGGTTTACAGCATGAATGTGAAAGGAGATTATGAACCAACTGATGCGCTTGGATTCATCAAAGTCAATGCCTTACGGTAAGGTTCTATTATAATTTTATCAGTTATAAATTTTACTAAAATACTACCATTTGCAAATCAAACACCTTATGAATTCAAAGATATGGTTCAATAAAAGATGTAATAACATTAGGTAAACTATTAAATAGCAATATATAGCTATGATTTACCTTTTGTTAAAATCTAAGCAGAACTAACCACCAAACACTACTCTTAAAACAAAATACTAAATTATGCTATCAACAACTTATTGCTATCCTCAACATCTGACATCTCTCTATACCTATTTCTATTGATGTCATTCTTATGCTGTATGGTATGTTTTGATTTTTGACAGGCTAAGGGAGCATCAGCGGCTACGAAGCAAGATAACAGCTAACCAGAAATAACTTCATTCAAGTAAATGTATATACAAGTGATTACAAGTGATTACAAGTGTTTAGAGTAACTTGTAGGAGTTGTAACTTAAATGTTCATTTAATTTATTTGTCTGAAATTAAAAAAATACAAGTAAAAGAGAAAATAAAAGCAGAGACTGGTGTTTCAACAAGAAAGTGTGTTGCTGACCAGATGAGATTTAATATGTTTAATTAAGTGATGGCTGTGTTTCATCTCATGTTTTAGAGTAGTAAAAAAATATGCATACAGTATCAATTTGTGTGAACCCTTGTTTATCAGCATTGACATTTGTATTTATTTACTGAATTTATAAAGCATCTTTTTCATGAAGATCATGCTCAAAGAAATTAAACAACAAAAATTAAAAGCTAAGCAATGCAAAAATACAGTATATCCCCTTCAAGAACAGAATGAACAATTCAAATGTAATAATTATCAAAATAAATGTGCACATAATTTATCTAGGAAGAATATGAATATTATTTAAAGAAATAATTTCTACTTTCTTTAAGTTATCATGAAATAATTTGCAAATTACAGATGATGGACGTTGCTAATCCCTGCCCCAATATTGTTGCTAAGGGCCCGCTAACAACAGCGTAAATTTAGCAGTGGTTGCTCCAGAAATTTGCCGGCGAGTGTCCGACATCTAAGGGCTGACTAGAGCCTCAACTGTGGATCCCAGAATGTAAAATCTCTGGTAGGGTTCACAAGCTCTGTGGCTTAGTATGTCCCAAATTGTAATTTTAGACGACAATATTAGGGATTGGCAATCAAAATAACGTTACTTGGATTGGCAAATTACTATTACCCTGTATTTGGTTTAGTACGACAGGGAAATGCCCTGCAATCACTAGAACATAGGTAAAGCTTGTGTGTTTATGAGACAAGCGTGTATTCCTGGGCCTGTTATAATTTATCAGTTGTTAAGTTTCATTGTATTACAAGCAAATATTCAATGTGACTGGCCTTCCTTGGTGTTTTTATGGTTGGATGTATTGCAGTTGAAAATACCAATAAATACTGAAAGTCTGTGGTAGAAGAATTTAATGTTTTTCATTTACTTACCGCTTTCTTAAAGAAAAAATACTCTCACGGGATGGTGGTGACTTAAACAGTGATCCAAAAACGATGATGGTGATATATGATTATATTCTTATGGTAATGAGGATGATGATGATGACAGGCAGCAATGATGGTGATGATGATCATTATTGCATTAAGGAGCAAGTGGGAAAAAAAGCATTGATAGGCTTAATTACGGCACCACAAGCAACAACTATTGGAATCGCACCATATAAATGAATGATTGATTGATTGAATTATTGGACTGCTAGTCTAGTTTATAAAGTATTAGTTGCATGTGGTGGACATTACTCTGTAGACCCTCATGCAATTATCCATGCACTAATTAATTCTGCATGTACTAATTAGCCTCCCCAAAGGAGCGAAGCTCCAGGGAGGCTATTGTTTTTGCCTGTGTTCTTAATGTTGTCGTCGTCCTCGCTGTTGGTCATTTGCTTGTTACCACGATAACTAAAGTTTTGTACTTCCAAATGGTTTTAAATTTGGTAGAATGCAAGATGGTAATAAGATGACCGAGCCTATTGTTCTTGGTACATGTGTGAATTGGGACCACATGCTTAAGTGTTGCTGCGATTTTGGCACAGGAGCAGGCAACCCCACCAGGTACCAATTTATACTCCTGGGTGGAGAGAAGCAATGCAGATGAAGTGCTTTGGTCAAAGACAAAAGCGAAATGCACAGTGAGAGATTGAAACCCCTGACCTAGAGGTTGGGAAACCAAACCGTTCCCGTGCTGTGCAAAACCGCTTCCACAAAGCTTCCACTTGTTTTTAATACTGAAGATCATAGGAAATGATTATAAGGAATGTTAAATACCCAAAATTAGCTAAAATCTTGTGAATTATAATCAAGATGTACGTCTGCATTATGTGTGTACTAACATACATAATTTCTGAATTTGTGGTTTACAGCATGAATGTGAAAGGAGATTATGAACCAACTGATGCGCTTGGATTCATCAAAGTCAATGCCTTACGGTAAGGTTCTATTATAATTTTATCAGTTATAAATTTTACTAAAATAAGTTACCACGATAACTAAGTTTGTTAAGTCTGATTGGTTTTAAACTCGGCAGAATGCTAGATGATAATAAGAAGACAGAGTCTATTGTTTTTGGTACTTGTGTGAACATGCTAATTGCTCATTTGCATTATTAATATTTCACTAATTAGGTCATTTAGGCTAGTTACCACGATAACTAAAAAATGGTAAATCTGGTTTCAAACTTGGCAGAATGCAAGATGGTAATAAGAAGATGGAGCCTATCGTTTTTGGTACTAATTGCTCATTTGCATAATTAATATTTCACTAATCAGGAAATTTACAGTAAATCATAATTCCCCCAAAAACGTTTAATTCAGGTGAAATTGTAATATTTTTTTTCATGTTTTCATTGTCGCTGTTGTAGTAAATTTTTTGTTACCACGATAAGTAAAGTTTGGCAAGTCTGATTGGTTACAAACTCCTTATTTATTAATTCTCGGAGAAAAATCACACCGTGGGGAGGCTATGCTTTTACTGCGCAGCATAAAATAGCATTTCTAGTTTTCATGTTGTATGGATATAAATACTGTAATTGCTTATACCATTTTTACGTTATCATAATCATGTCAGATATTTGTTTTATAATCATACTCAACAGACAAGTTCAGATTATAACACAAGGAAATAATAACAGAAGAATTCTTTTGTGAGATATAGTGCTTTAATACTAATAGTTTCCCTTGCAATAATTAGCAATAAACAGGAAATATTGACAACCTTTTATCAAAAGTGGTCTCTATAAAGATTTTATGACTAAGAATTCCAAACAATTATTCAGATTCAGGGCTCAGTGGTTCAATAGTTATGTCAATTTTGACTTGACATGATTTAGACCTACATTTTGATACTTACATTTTATACAGTAAGTTAGTAAATGGTATAATACATCTATTTACCATATTTAAACATTTTAAATAATGCATGCAATTGCAGTCAGCAGACATTTGTTTTTTTTTTTGTGAATTCTCAGTATCACCCTGAATCTGAATAATTTTGGCTATCATAAAAGTTCATGTTAAAAATATACTCGTTAGACCTCATAAATAGATCTGTTACTAAGTGACAGGTAATGAGATGAATATTCATGAGCTTTGAAAATGTCCAGAATTTTAACTTTCATAAATTCCAAAGGAAAAAAATAATAAAGTCTTGCAGTATTAAATACAGTAGTTAGCAAAACATTTGCTTTTTACAACAATCCTGGCATAAAGGCATCAGGATCATTATGCTTTCCAAAGTAAAATTTGCTCAGCATAATATAGCATATTTTCTACTCATAATGAGTTTACACTTCTCTAAAATACATACCAAGCATGCTCAGAATAAGCCAGCTCAAAAAGATAAAACTTCAAAGTTTGTTCCAAGCAATAAAAACCACATCCCATTCTCACCCAAGACATTTTCAGCTAGGAATAGCGGGTTGAATCTTTACCAACATACATCAGCTCATTGCCTGTCACTGGAGATAGTCACTAGCTTCGGTAACTTACGTACCATCAGCGCTTTTCTTATACCTTCATGTTGTCTAACAACCAAATAATTATGGAAATATCCCAAGAAAAAGTATACCGTATAATCGAACAATTCTTAACAATTGTCAGCAGTGAATAGGCTTATCTATACAGTCTATACTATATATATTATACTCTACTGTCTGTGGTAAAATTTGGAAAAACAATTTCAAATAAAACATTGAATTGTTATTTATGGGATGCAGATCAATTTTCAGTGCAAAATCTGTAAATTGATAAGCAGCAAATTTAAGGGTAATTGGTAAGAAAAATCTCATTCTAATTTTTAAAATAAAAGCTAGTAACTTAAACATATTAAGTAATCGATTCAAATTTTGAATTTTAATCCTTTTCTTCTTCATGGACCAACCTGGTATCTTAAAGCTTCCATCCAATACCTTAGTAGTTAAGTATATTATTACAATTTATTCATCTCCACACAGACAGTACATCTTTAACCACTGATGTAGATATAAACTATTAATTTAATTAACATGATAAACCATATTATATATAAATGATATAATCAAATTTTTCAAGTAAAACAAATAGTAATAATTATCATTACTAATTACTTATTTACTAATTGATGTGTGCTTTCATAATAAAACTTTTTAAAAAATAATAAAAAAAGCATTATAATATTAAGATTTATAATAATTACAGTATATGAACAATAATATAATCATAAAATAAAATATAAAATTGTGAATGCTTATCTAAAAGTATAAACTGGTTTCAAACTCAGAATGAAATAAAAACAGCAAATGACTTAAATAGAGCATCTATGTGACTTAATTTAGTGATATTAAAGGATGTTCTGTTACTGCACAAAACAAAACCTTACTAATAATGTACCCATATACGATACACTACATGCACAAGTTAACCTTTAAATACACGATTTTCCCCAAGGCAAGTAATTTATTATCACTTGTCCATGTTAAAATCACTATCCTAGATACATTAATAAGTTAGTATGCATACCGTATTGAGGAATGGATCTAAGTACCTTATGCACATCAGTTCCTTGGGTTTACGCCTATCCCTTGAACATGAAATTATGTTGAGTTTAGATGGTAGGATAACGAATAACTACATAATTTCAAACAATAGCAAACGCTAGCATAGACGTCATAGTCCAACAACAAAGGTGCCATAGTAAGGCCTAGGTACCCCTATATGGCTAGTCCTAGGTAGCCTTTTTGAAGGTAACTTTCAATGAAAAGCAAGTGTGCTTTTAGCGAAAGTGGGCTTATAACCGAGGAACTACGATAACTGACTAGCCAAAAACCATGGGAGAGCATTATGCTCAAGCCCGCTATTCGATTAATGTAATCAGTAATAAATTTACTCGGCATTTAAGATGCTCAAATGTTACACAGTAGTTCATCTAATAGACCATGCAAAAGAGAGCCTGCTCCTTGTTTATTGTTGGTAGGTCTGTTACTATAACAACACAGTTACACATTGCTATATGACTTCTTTAAAAAGCCTAGAATGCTTTACATACAAATCACTCTCAAATTCACAGCATTCAAAAGCATTCGGTGCAGACTTAAGGTAAGGTTGTACTTATAACAATAATAGCAAATAGATATATGTAATCATTTCTTTTGTAAAAACTACAGTTTGCTTCTTAATTGTGAGATGTTAGTCTCTAAACATTTAAAATAACTACCATATTCTGCGAACATCAATACATGGGTTTTAATTTGTCATACTGAATAAAAAATACGTTCTCCAGAATTTCATTAATCAATTTTGAATGATCACTATTCAATATATAAACTGAGTTAAACACAGATGAATATCATATGTTATAAGCATCTTCAATAACAAAATATTAAGTAGGACTCTACATAATAAATGAATAAATCATAATAAGAGTATGGTACTTTATCTTTAAATAAGGAAAAATCACCTTAAACTATAAATATGTAATATAAAAAAAGTCTAAAAAGACAATACAATAATTAAGCTAAACCATATATAGCATTGTTTTTTCCAATAGGAAAATATTATAATATTAATGATTTCCATTATAAATAGTACATTCTGTTTCCTTAAAAGATTATGTCCTCTCAAATTGTCCATTCTTCTTGGTAACATTTTAATTTTTTTAGTTTTTAAATCATGGGATAATATTTGTTAAATAATTTTAACCATCATAATATCATAATAAACTATATTTCTAATCTCAAATATACACCTCACAAGTGAATTTATACTTTGACATGATTCTGAGAACAAATATCAAGTTAGCAGAGATTTCATACATACAAATATCTTTAAACAAATGAGGGAAAACCTTAAAGCCTTTTGTGTGGCGTTCTTTAATCCAATAGTTCCTTCTCTATCTAGTACGCCCTCCATAGGGAGCTTTATTATCAATCAAATCAGTAAGATTCATTACTTCCGGCTGTACACATACCAGCTGTTTGTTGAAGTTGCTGGGCTTGACATTTCTCCTCTAAAGCCCCTTAACTTTTTCCTGATTTTCCACCAGGTTTTGCTTGGGCTTTTGGTGTGTTACCAAAACAGTGCTTAGCCCACACCAAATTTTCCTACAATAATAATAATTTCCAATATCAATTAATACCAACTACTAAAAACTATCCTGCTTTTTAAACATTCATCATGAAGACATTTATTCTTCTGCCTGAAAATCCATTTTATTACTTTCCATAGTCACCTACCATAACTCATCATCATCTCAAACTACCATTGTTCCAATTATAAGTAACTTTGTAAATACAAAACAAACAAAGGTTCCAGACACACATCTTATAATTTATCTCTCAATTGCTTGATAAACATATCATACTGAGATCACAAAGAGCATTCTCTATAAAGTAAGAGATAGATTTTTATATTTTGATTTTATTAGACTTTGTACTTGAATTTTGTTTTTTATTGTACTTCTGATGTTTCCTTCTGTTTTTTATTGATTGTGTATCTTAAACTGTAAATATGTACTCTAATTCGGCCCTTTGAGCTGCTATTGTACTTATAGTGGTTTTGAATAAAGAATTAAAAAAAAAAAAAAAAAAAAGTTAAAAAAATATAGATAATCAATCCTACAATCATGACATTGTAGAAACGAACTTTCTAAAGCCTGCTCTCACTCACCCTCGCTTCAGGTTTCATGTTAGCCTGGTCTTTTATCAACATGTGAGATGTGTTAGGATCATTCATCTGTTCATTTTCCATCAATACAGGATCAACCTTACATGATAAATCATGCTCAGCAATGGCTCTACTTTCACGATCCAACAACTGAATATCTGTTGCATCCTGAAGAAAATTGTAAATATGATAATATATACGCACAATATATTTACATTTACATACTGTATTCACACACCATTTGGTAATTACAGTATTGTCATCATAATCATGTTACTGATTATTAACATGGTCATTATCATTAATTTCATACCTTCCTAAACTGTATCTGATTCTGGACAAACTTTAATTCTTCCTTTATCTTCCTCTTTTGTTCCTCTTCATTTTCATCAGTTTTCCCCAAAGGAAATCTGAAAGCAGTAAAGTTTTGTGTCATCCTTATTAAATCATATACAATGTAATGTATCATAAAAGACTTTTTTAAAGATTTGATATTAAATTGCACTGCGTTAAGTACCATAATGGCACCCTAAAAAAATAGTTTATTTGCATAGGTACAAAGGACACCTGTAGAGTTTACCAGCTACATTTCGGTAGCCCTGAAGAAATGCATACCTTGCGTATATTCATTGAAATTCTTTAAGAATACAGTATCAAATTATTCGATGGTCGGCATCAGACAAAATTAACATTGCATGTTATAGCATTTGCAACAATGTTAAATTCTTTGCCCATCCATGTTCTATATTTCATCATACCTAATGCTTTTTCAATGACTAAATTATACTGACCTTTGACCTGTTCCAAAGGATATGGTTGAATATTCAGTAGCCCATGGAGACTGAGCGAACCCAGAGTAATATCCGGATGGTTCCTGCAAAGCTGGTGCAGTGTGGCAATCAAGGTTCAGCTTAACTGGCACAGTGGGCGTACTTTTCCCTGCACTTACTTGTACAGGACCGGATATTTTGCTTGATGTACGGCATGAGCGCGATATTGGCTCAATTTTTGAAATTGAGATATTTTCTGGTGAGTTCAAAGTTACGGGCTCAGTTGATACCAAACTGGTTGACGTCATCACAAGTGGGGACAACTCGTTGTGTTTTTCAAGTTGCAACATCAACTTCTCACGCTGTTCATGATGATCAATATACTGATGTGATTTTTTCACCTCCGCCTCTTTTTTCAAATCATTCAGTGATAATTTCTCCATATCATGGAAATCGTGATACGGTGGTGCAGGATCTTCTTCTCGTGTTGAAACATGGCGTATGTAAGTTTTACTGAGTGTCGGCGTAAGCTTCGTACAGACTTCTTTGTTAGCAGGGACCTGGTAGGAGAGTGTACTTGACTTCCACATCTCATAAGCTGGAAGATAATCAAAGCGAGCAGAATTAGCTGCTTCTTTGAAATCTTCACTGTCTGTAGAAAACATCACACTGTCCTTTGAGGAATTTTGCCGGTACAGCTGAGCAAAGTCACCACCATACTGGGGCCTTTGATGGTTAGGCATGCGAGGTGTCTTGCCAGTGTGGAACGGTTCTACCTCATCGTCAAATATCGAGTCACTCTGTCCACTGTGTTTTGATACGTTTGGAGTCATTTCACTAAGCAGACCAATGAGCGCTGCTTGTCGCTCATTCAGTTGATCGATACTTTGAGCCTGTAATGAAATTCATATTTCATTATATTTTCATTTCCTGGTCAAAGGAAGTATAAATGTGAAAAACTGGCAAGTCCAGGACCAAACAAGCAGTCTCAATCACTGTAGGATTGCCAATAGGCCATCCCAAGTTAAACTAAATATGAACTTTAGGAATGATTAAAGGAGTTGTACTACAACAAAAAAAAAGAAAGTAAAGTTTAAGGGGACCATCATCCTATATAAAGAATATGATGGCAGTAGTGGCGATGATGATGTCAATGATGATATTACAATTAAAATGATGACATTACAATGATGAAATTGATGTTGAATTTGAACATTCAATATTTTAAACTCAATAGTTTCTTTCTTTTTTTATTTCAAATATGAGTAAAAAAAATACCATGCAGATGGGAAAATAATAGTTTTAAAAAACAACAAAAATAAATGCATACATATAACTACCACCTCAAAAAATATACACCCAAAATTAATTTAAAAATAAGTCAGAAAAGGGATCACAGATGGGGATAATGTCAGGTAAATGTAATTTTAAAAAAAAAAGATGAAATTATACAAGGGATGTAAATCAGGGAAAGGGGTCACGAAAACCAATAGAAGCTGTAAAACATGGAGAAAAAATAATTAGGGAGTGATGTTTATAGTAGAGTGAGAGGTAAATCAGGTAGGGGTTGTAAGTCAAGGAGGGAGATGAAAAAATAAGAAGAATGCACTTTAAATAAAGGAGAGAAGGACATAGTAAATATGACGAAAAGATAAAAAGATGCGAGAAATGTAAATAATAAAGTGAAATGTAAATAAAGGTAAAACGCCTATAGATGAGGGGTGATGTAAATCAGGGAGCGAGATATTAAAAAGAATAAAAACCAAAAAGTGCAGATGTAAAGCAGGGATTGGTAAAAATCAGAGAGGGGAAGATATAAATCAGGAAGGAAGAATGAATCAGAGAGGGGGGATGCAAATTAAGGAGGGAGAAGTGATGACAGGCAGCACATTGGGTGACCTTACCCAAGTTGTCCTCGGACCAATATTCAAAATAGTTGATAACTGATCATATAAAACCAAAAAACAAACAAAAACTAAATAGTCAAGTAAACACCACTCTTCTTCCCATTTCCAAAAAAGTGTCTTTATGTGCTTAATATTAAAATTATTTAAAAGTTAAAACCACTATATTTCGAACTAAGATTTGTTTAGTTGTAATACCAACTAAAGGTACCAACAAAGAAACCTTGGATTCTAGAAGTGATGAAGTTAAATCAGTCCATAACTCTCAAACAACATAATAAATAATTTATTTTAGGTAAAGTTTTCTTTTTTACCAAGCAAGAAACATATTAAACATACCATTTTCACTACTGTTAATTTGTTTCTGCCATAGAAAAAAAAACTTCTAAAATAGTGTATTTAGAAGCCAAATAAAATTACTTGGGCATTTGAAGGTGGTAAGTAGTTTGCATACCTAATATATATTTTTAATGATATCAATTAAAATTCCTAACAAAATGCATATACTAACCATTTACTGGAAGATCACATTAAACAAATAAAATTATAAGTCAAAAATGCAATTCTGTTTTATTAAAATATTTTGAAGAAATAAGAACCTTACATTGTAACTCTGAAACACAGGCATTTCAGATCCATCATTTCTTTTTTCATTGGATTCTTTTTCTCTTTGTGAACCATCCTGAAACTCATCTCTTCTGTTCCTCAAATCATGTTCTCTAAAAAGCAGACCATCATCCATCTTATCTCTTAGGAATTCTCGTTCCGTGGATGAGTACTTCGGTGAAAGAACATCCTGACCTATAGCTGCAATATCTTCAGAGCCCCTACTATATATATGGTGATCCCAGCCTCTATTAGCTGGTTGGGGAGGGGGATAGCCACTGTAGCCTCCGTTTCGTTCTGATGAGTATGGTGGTTGTTGACGATGTTTATTTGCATCGTTTGGATGGGAAGTATAATAATAACCCAGTTGATGGTCAGTGAGTGAGGGTTCTTGACGACGATGATCGGAGTGTGGAGGTTCTTTACGGTGATGATCAGGGGATGGAGGTTCCTGATGATAGCCAGGTGGATATTTTCTGCTCTCATGCTTAGGGTAATTCGGGTAAGCCTCGTAAGGCCCATTTTTGAAATGTCTATAAGGCCCTGGTTGTTGGCCATGTACTGGGGAATGTCTGCCTAATGGAGGATGGCCATGTACAGCTGGTACACCATGTGATGGACCATGAGGTGGAGAGCGCCCTCGTACAGGCGCATATCTGTATCCTTGATGAGAATATGCATCATAATAGTATTGATCTGAAATTTCAATCAAAATTAAATTAAAAATGTATTTATACAATATAATTTAATAAAAATTCATAGTAAAAACAAGAAACTGCTGTCCCAGAACAGGCAAAAAGCACAACACAACCTACCAAATGAAAAAATAGCATTAAGCAGAAATTTTGAATCAATCTTACAGTATCCATTTTTTCAATAAAATGAAACATTTTCATTATTACATTTAAATATGTCATACATCTTAAAGAAAATTTTTATACTGGCAGATCAGTGGTTTTCAATATCTGAGCATAATATTACTGTCAAAAACGTGAATTCTAAGATCAAAATTCTCTTGATTGAAGCCGGTACTCACCATCATAGTGATACACAATATGAGGGTTGGAAGAAGGGTGTCTGCCATGACCATACACCCTAGTTAAACTATCATCCTCATTGCTTTGGAGATGGCGTCCGTGACCATACACTCTTGGTACAGCCTCGTCTTCATTGCTTCGGGGGTGAATTCTATGACCATACACCTTTGCTATACTCTCCTCCTCACTGCTTCGGGAATGGAGTCCATCATTATGACCAACCACTGCAGCAAGTTTAGCGTTCTCATTACTTGGAGAGCTACTTTCCCTAAAATCATAAAAATTTCCAATAATTTTTTTGTACAATAAAACAATTTACATAGAAAACCAGAGCCTTGCAGGCGTCAATGTTCCTATGCATGATACATGACTTAAAAAGTATGTGTGTGTATATATATATATATATATATATATATATATATATATACACACATATATATATATACATATATATATGTATACGTGTATATAGGTAATGTAATTCGACAGGCAATTACAGTAATATTTTTAGCAAATTTCTTTGAAAAAATTCGTAGGCATAAGGCCTAGGCCTAGCTAGGTATACAGTAATTTCATTTTACAGTAGTTTGGAATGATATCAGGAGTGGGGGTGGTGGCAGTGGCCTACAATTTATTTGAAGCTATCTTGTGTCCGATCGTCAACACCAGTTGGGCCCAATCGTCTGTCACCCGAAGTTTTCATTACGATGATCAAGAACGTATACTATCTAGGCCCTAGGCTAGGCTTAGATTGCTGCCGTCACTCTGCTACGTATACTACTACGGCATAACAAAGAAAGCGACCCACACCGTGCATTCTTAAATTTTACACACATTATTAAAATATAGACGATAACATGATATCACTGACTGAACGATCTACCACCCTCGCATCGCAGTAACTACTGTACTGAACTAGGTCTAGCTTAGGCCTAATGTTTTTGTGGAAAGTTAGATAGTCGTTATGTACCCAACAGTCGGCTACCTTTATATCTTCACTTGTCTTCAATTTGCATTCAAAGGGTACATTGCTGCATAGCCAACTGTTGGGGATATAGTACCTTCATATGACTACTCATACAACAGAAAAAAACATCGTCGCATGGAGTGAAAAATGGAGATCTAAATGAAAAAACGATGTATTTCAGCAAGTATTTTGCATTTATTCAGCAAGTGTTTTATTTTAGGCCTTCTTCAAAAAATACCTATGCTACAGCAGTTGATTTTTTTTGCTGTAAAACCAAATTAGTTTCATCCGCGCCGACTTGCTGATCATTTGCGTGCGCCCTGACTGAACTTTGCAGAAACTTCACATCGAACTTCGCATCGCAAGGTAAAACAAAATGTCGAAAAACTTTTCTTTGATGCATGCGCATTTGCATAAATGTCTACACACACACGCACACACATACTACACACAATAAAAAACAAAGGAAAAACGGTGAAGAGTGATTACAATAGTTCCTATTGCATTACATGCATAGGAACTAAAAATCAATCAAATAAGTTGTTTTTATATGGGAAAAAAAAGATCTACACCTTACAGAATTGAACTGAGTTTTTATGAGATTAGAAGAGTATCTAAGCCACTATGCTTACCTGTCCTTATCAGGTAAAGTTGTCCTTGGTACTGGTGAAGTTATGTTCCTTGCATGGCCTAATCCCCGAGGTAGTAGGGGCGGCTTCTGCTCAAGTTTGTCACCAACGCTTGATTGGCTTGTCTGCCGTGTCATTGTCTGCATCAATCTACGACTTTCAGCACGATGCCTGCAAATTGAAAATGTGAAAATTTTAAAAAGTTATTCACAAAGGCATAAATAATTAAACTTAAATAAGTGCTGTTGTCAATTAGCTGATGCATGATGGACTGTACGTTGATAGCGACACCAGAGGCGTTTTGTTCAGTTACAGACAAGACAAAAAAAACAGGACAAAGGTATACATGAGGAGTAATACAAATTGGAGGGATTGATAAAACAGGAGGAAGCAGTTGAAAAAGATTGGAAGGATTAAAAGACAGGTTGAAACAAATGGAATGGAAGTTAAAAAAAATGGGATGAATGATATTTGTTTAACAGATGGGGATGAAAATAATTTAGTTTATCATAATCCTGCACTTCTTGATTAAGAAAAACATGTGACTACATAACTATATATGTTGAAGTGAATTATACTTACTCTTTCCTTTCTTTATCTGAATGAGCAAAGGTACAGTTTGAACCACGAGGGCAGCCTCCCTTCTGAATGTCTCGACACATAGTTGTTTTAAATGTCACATTCGGAGTCTATAAAAATGATAGAATGAAAATGAAAAGTAAGGCAATAAAATGTACAGTATATCTCGGTTAGCATTTTTATTACCTTGATAGTCGACTTTATATTGTCACTCTCAGTTATGTATACTATTTCTATTTAATATATGTATTGTAAGATGTCCTTTATGACATTTCCAAAAAATTAATCTCATATGGATTACACTTTATGACAAAAAAAATCTGAATATGAATTTTTATATCAAATAAACAAACAAATCAAAATTTAAAAAAATAAATCAATAACAATTATAATACAAATGGTGTAGGGGAAAAATATTGGCTACCCAAAAGGAGTTACAAACATCAATCTTTATCTATTGGTTCACTAATTCAATAACAATTAGTGAACTGGGATCTATAATCACTTTCTTTACCTGCTGGTTCATCATTTTCCTTGTGTGGCTGAAATTTTGTGCAAATTCCACAAAGCCTTGAACAATCAACTTCACAGCTCTCATCGCATTCTCGCATTCTTCCCAAGATGGACAAATGCCCTCTGTGATTACAAAGCAAATAAAATAATAAAGCAAAAGTCACATAAAATGGCAAATGTTGACTATATTGATTGCTATTTTAGGAGGAGGAGGAGGATGAGGAGGAGTATTTTGGCGTGAATCACACCAAGGAAAACCCACCAAGTACGAAGACTTGTTTCCAGTGGGGTCCTTCTGGTAGTGAATTGGGCAGTACACTGGGAGACAATCCATAACTCTTTTCCGAAGAGTGTACTGCATTCTTTACATGCACATGCGGCATAATGCACACGGGACCAACGGCTTAAATGTCTCACCCGAAAGACGGCGCACTATCTTAACTAGCACCACCAGTTTAGCCGACTGAGCTAAGCCCCTCACTACCAATAAACTTGTGATTTAACGTGGAAATTATTCAGGGGTCCCAAGTCTCCCGCAAGATGCGGAAGTCTCTCAGAAATCAACTTGGTCTTCCGCACTCGCGTGAACAAGCAAAGATCTTTCTGACACTCACCAATCCCTCGGTAAGTCCCAAGGTTTGCATGTTTTTAATACTGTACTATCAATTATCTCCCCGGCAAAATACAGCAAAATGTGTTTAAGGAAGCTCATTAAATTACATCTTCTGGAAGTTGCTTCTCCCAACTTGACACACTAGTAAATTTCAGTAGACCTTACCTGTGCTTCCATCTATCTCGGCCAGGTATTCCAGGTGAGGCTGTAGTGACTTCAGGTTACCTGGATCACCAGAGCGTTGCAAAGCAATAGTGAGTTCATTGATGCTGGACGAAAATGATGCTGGCGTCTGCAACTGTAGATTAAATTCATATAGGAAATCATTAGATATTAATGTTTCCTCATACTTTGAGTTAAACATTTAGGCACCTGGACAAAGGATTGGAAATAGCAAATATACCACTGGCTTACTTAATGGACAAAGCTACTAAGCCAATCCCACCCCTTGTAATATGCTGCTGTCATTTATAGAGAAACATGGCTAAGTGTGCGATTGTAAAGATACACATACAGCCTCACTTAAAGATCAGCACATTCTGAGTGGCCAGTTGTTAAATTTGATAGCCATTTCAGAAAAAAAAACCCATTGTATATTATTGTACATTATAGGTTTAGGTTAGGGTTTTATTTGTTTTGTAACACTCCAGCAAATTACATTAATATAGCAGATGAACATGCTATACTGAAACATTCTGTCTTTGGTGAAAATGTGGGAAAACTATTAAATGAAAACACTGAATTTCCCATTTAAAACACTATGTAAAGTAATCAACTTCCAACAAGACACATATCAAAAATCACTCGAAATCCTGACACTCATACCAGACAATTTAAGGGATAAAAGTATAGGAAGATATTTTCTTGTTTGCTCAACTTTGATAGCATATCTTTAAACAGATACTTTTTTAATTACCTTGTCAATGATAGACTGCATGTGTGATTTGTGATTTAGATCACCATATAAAAGCGATGACCATTGCTCCGGTGAGATCCGCAGACCAGCTTCCATCGCAATCTGAACAATCTGAGCATCATGCTCTCGTCGTAAAGCTTCGTAGTTACGGAACTAGAGAAGAGAAGATTAATAGCATCAGCATGATAATTACTCATAAATCCATCTTAGTATTGCATGACACAGCCCATCGAGATTTTTCGTCATGTTAGGTTTCATAAGAATGTGTTGGGTAGGCCTAGTTCGTCAGGAGAGAATCAAACATGATTAATGTTCTACGACGAGGCCTCAAAACAAATTGTGTCAAGATGTATCATACAACACTTAGTTGGCCTAAATTAGATAGAAATTAATAGGAAAAAATCAGTATATTTTATGTATACTATGGAAGAGGGAATAGCTTTTTTTCTGAATTATTTAACTCATTTCTTTTTTCTATTACATTTGTATTTTTAAGTTCATAGTCTGAAATCAAGCAATCAAAGAGAAGATACTTTTTATCCTAATTAACACATTTCATTTTGCTATTAGGTTTGTATTGTTAAGTTCACAGTCTGAAATCAAGCAATTAAATTAGCTTATTGAAAACTTTTCTTTTCATAAACATATCAACTACAGGTTTCAGTAGCCTTGATCAGGTAAAATGACAATGATATATTGTCTTAAACTATCATGCAATGCTTTGGTGGTTTAAATTATTTCTAAAACTTTGCATTGATTTCACTTCCTAAACCTGGTTTGAATCATGTCTAAAGAACTGCCCTTTCATCATGAAGGGTATAACATGCCCTTGACCTAATTTATATTCGGGTATATAAAGACAGAGCACAAGACTGACATTACAATGAATCAATAATGGATACACAATCCAAATCCAAAACCAAAACAGCACAAACAAAAGAAGCATAACTATAAACAGAAACAGGGAACATTAAAATTATTACCAAGTACAAAATTAATTCTATCTCTATCTCCTGCCTACTACTACCTAGATAATGTATTCATTTTTTAGAAAAAAAAAGACCATTTAATACTTCACTTATAGAACAGAAGAGATAGAAAGATGTTGAAACCTTAATTACATTACCTCTTCTTTCAACTGCATAAGCGAAGAGTCTGCATCCCGTTTTGTGACCTTAAAGCACGAGGCTCTGTATAACAACTGCACAACATGTCCAACGCTGGTCTTAGAAGCTTGCGGGAACTGGGGCTCAAGTCGCTGAACTACAAACAGCACAAGAACTTTCCTGGACAATGCAGTGCCATCTTCCAAGGCCAGCAAAACAAGCTTTAGTGTTTCCTCTTGCATAGCTGCAAATTTGAAAGGAAAATTTGATGAAATTCTTTAAAACTCTGTTCACACTATCATATTTTATGCGACAAAAAAATGTGACATGCCCATTCTTTGGCTGTAATATGACACCATCATGTCCATATTTGGGCACATCATGTCCATATTTGGGCACATCATGTCCATATTTGGGCACACCATGTCCATATTTGGGCACATAATGTCCATATTTGGGCACACCATGTCCATATTTGGGCACATAATGTCCATATTTGGGCACATCATGTCCATATTTGGGCACATCATGTCCATATTTGGGCACATCATGTCCATATTTGAGCACATCCTGTCCATATTTGGGCACATCATGTCCATATTTGGGCACATCATACAAATTTGTCACATCAAATTCGATAGTGTGGACAAAGCTTAATCGTAGCCAATTCACACTGCTTTCAGATTTTTCTTAACATAAACCCCCAAAATTTTTGAAAATGATTAATTGTAAATGTTCTGCTAAAGCTAATGTATATTTACACTAGAGACGACGACGACATATCATCGCATAGTTTGTATTCTTCAACACTGTGCACACCTGTATCGTGTCGCTGTCGTGTCGTAATCGTGTCTAGTGTAAATGTAGCTTAATTGGTACAAAAAATAGGTTACATAACTATAGTTTGAGGGAGTAATATTATGGCACCTCTACATGACCAGAAATGGCACTCTCAAACCTAAATTTAAATACAATTTTCTATTTTCTCCACTGAAACAGCCACTGATAATGAACCCTGATTTATCGATATGGCAGCTTGAGTACACAAATCTCAAGTGCATCTGTACCAATATACCTAGGTAAGTATTTACCTGGGCCTAGGAACTGACAGCCTCTTCCACGCACAGCAGCCCAAAGATTTGCTGACAGCTGCTGAGGATTCTGGTGCTGAAGAATGAGTTCTGTCACAGTACGCTCTCCAAGTGACCTCGCTGCCCTCAAAGCCCTTGACCGTCCTTCATCTTCAACAAGCTGGCAGTTAAGAAGCGCCACCAATTTTCTTTGCATCGGTCTACTAAGTGCACATGCTCCAACAGTAGTACCACCTGTGGAGTTCACCAATTTAAAATGAAGGTGTTAAAGATGATTAAACATGTGATAGCGAGAACCAAACTGAGATGATTATTTACAATATTCAGGTAAAGGAAAACTGAATGCACATACTGGATTGGATTGGATTTCTTTGGTGCGATAGACACCAAGGATAGCCCATACAATAAGACTTATTTCCAGTGAGTTCCTTGTGGTGGTGATTTGGGCAGTACACAGGGACAATCCCCTACTCTTTTTCTTAAGAGTGTACTGCATGAATTCTTTAACGTGCATATAAGCCATTTTGCACGCAGAACAAACATTTCATTTTATTTATTTCTTCTTATACATACAAAAACACACAAAAGAACAGGATGACGGCAGTGCAGAGAAGGGCTTCCAAAAAAGTGAACTCAATCACTGTCAATGTTGGTCTCCCAGAACACTGTTTCAAACATGAAATTTAAAACTATAATAACAATTTTGAAGAATGTAAATAACTAAATATACAATTTAAAAAAGCTAATCATCACATGCAAGTGTTGATAAATGAGATTTAAAATTCCTAATAAATAATTTTAAATGAATTACAAGGAGATCCCTAATTTTGGATGGGATAGTCAGCTTAAACCTCACATCCAAACAATGGTGCCCTTTTTGAAACGGGAATTTCAGACATCCAGCTGAAACAGAAGGGGAGCAGCGATGGGAATTCAACTGGGGACCAAGATATTTCCTCGATTCAGCGTACACACAGTGGCTACCACCAGTTTAACCGACTGAACTAGTTGCTTTCGCAATATTGGTAAACCAGAGTCAAGGGTAACCAGGTGCAAATGATTAAACCATGGTACCATCTGAGATACTGTATGCAGTTAAACAAGTACTGGTTTTTCATTCCTATAATTCTTGCCTAGACCATAAATGGGCTGAACATAATTGATTTCTGCAATAAAACGTCTATAAATCTATAAAACAGATATTATTTTTATATCTTACTGTAAATCAATAATGTCTCATTGGAGGAAGTTGAGGACATAATTTGATCTTTTTAAATCAGCAATTTAATGTTTTATTTGAAATTTTGAGGGGGTTTTTCAGTTATTTCTACAAATGTTACACCACTTATTGAACTGAAAAATTATAGGATCCACACACAACACAATACAGAATCAAATGTAAAAAGGCACAAAATAAAAATAAATTGATAAATACACCAAATCATAAATTGAGAAACAGGATGATAGAGCTACATCAGTTTATAAAAGATTATCTGATTGGAATTGCCAACAATATAGTACAGAGGCAGCAACCGAAAGGAAAATAATGATGACGGATTTCTTGGATAATAGATTAAGGAAGTAACTGTTCAGTGTTTTTTTTTAATTTTTTTATAAACATTTTTTTACTATTATTTGAGTCTTCCTTGTTCCTTGAAAGTTACTGCACTTCCTTGCGAGGGTTTTTTGAGTCGGAAACCAGGAAGTTGGCGTACAATACCTATAAAGGTAAACAACTATAGGAAATGTAGAGTAAAGTGCACTTGTCAATTTCACAGAGGTATATACGGTACACTACTGTAAACTATTAATATTAAACTAAAGGAATTTACTTTGTGACAGTTAAGATTAATTTATTGTGACAATAGAAATTCATTTTCTCTCTGACAACACAAAAACATAAAATACACAATCAAATTAAGCTACAATATAATATAATGTTTAATAAAGATTTATTGATAGAAAAAAATATTTTTTTTTGGATCATTATTTTTAGCATTCAGCCAGTTCGCAAAAAAACATATAAGAAAAGTTTTGCCATATTTATAAAGTTTATATAAAATGAATTAATAAATAAGTAGCGTTACACAAGCTTACCTTTTCCAAGAGGTTTCAAGTATAGTGCTAACTCTTCAACACATTTCTTAGCGGCAGCGTAATGTTTAACATATTGGTCAATGATGTTAGACGGCATAACATCCCTCTCCAGTGAGATTTCGATCCCAACCAGCTGCAGAAGGGCAAAGTTTACCGGAAGCTCGTCCACATCCCGCTGGATAGTTGCTTGGTCGAACGGACACTGCTTTTTGGAAAGAGTTGCCAAACATCGTTTGCACATGGTGTGTCCACATGCTAGACTGATTGGTTTGTGTGCATTCTCATTGAAGACTGTATAACAAATTGGACAGGAGAGGAAATCTGTCCATTGGGGCGGTTGTACTGGCATTGTGCCCTCTCTGTCACATTGTCATACTGTCAGTAAATAAATAAATCTTGAATAGGAATAACCCTCTGTGGAAAAATTGAACAATAATAATCAATAATGGTGTTGATAAATAACATTAACAATTCATAATAATCCGATAACATAATAACAATGTTGACAACAATGAAGATGTAACAATGTATAACAATTAACAATAAAAATAACAACGATAACTATAATAATAAGAACAATATTAAATAACAACCACATTGACAATTATAATGATAACAATAATAACCACGGCAATTAATAAAGGCCTCCCTCCAATTAAAGACCACCTTTGGGACCATGTTTCCCAGTTTTTGGTCTCTAATTAAATAATAAAGATAACAACATTTGTTAATGGGAAAATAGAAAAGTGGTCCTTAATTGGAGGGGTACTTTAATAGAAGTAGACCTGTATAATAAATTGTATTGTTTTTTATGTTTTTCACTATGTGAAAATGGATGGTGATTTCTATATCCTGTGTAACATCCTATATGGCTGCAGTTTCTGCCTCAGTTTACTATACTGATGTGTAAAGTACTGCATGAAACAATGCAAAAGTTTGGCATATATAAATTATTTTCTGGAACTGACCCTGAGAGTCTGTTCAACGTATATATCCTGGACTGAACGTCAAGGATATCACCATAGATAGCAAAACTACCGGTATTACTAAATACAACTACAATGTAGTTATTATATATATTATTGCTTCGCTTTTAATTGCTATCGTGCTGTCGTAGACTGATTTTCCTCAACTACTGTAAAATCCCATCGGGAAAAACCAACGCCAGTCAATGATATCCAATTGTAGACAGCTGTCAGGATGGGGAAAACCCAAATTCTCAGCGCTTGGGTCAAGCAAAAAGAATTGGCCCTTGTTGATATATCCATAGGAAAAAACCAAAAAAGGAGTGTGAACAAAAAAATTTAAGCTGCACCCAACCAACTTTCTCTCTTTCTGTTTCATAATTTTGTTTTCTTTGGTAAAATAAATAAATAGGCCTAAACAAAATGAAACTGATTACTCATGAATCCAGAATCCAGTAGGCCTATTGTGAATGTCCAATGAATTATTGGTTGAAAGTAATCTAGACATTTTGCTAAAAATGATTTTTTTTTTTTAGACACAATTGATAGGTCTAATAAATTCCCTTTTTAGACCTATATCTTTAGAGCTATATTTTTAGACCTGCTTCTCTGATTAATGATTACTGTATGTCTACTAGTTTAGATGTTGATTTTTGCTAGGGTGTCTGCGACCCAAGCTGGCAGGCCTTGTGCCTTGAATTGCAGGTACACGACACATCACTCTTCAATTCCTCTGCATTAATGTTTGTCAGTATTTTTTTAATTTTCAAAGCTAATCAGAATTAATTAAGGTCATAGAAATGAAGAAACATTTTTTTTTATTAAAAAAGTAAAATAAAAGTATTACAATACAAAAAGAAAATTAAAATATGAGTAATAAAAATAAACAGAAAAGTATGTACATGGTTATAAGTATAGACCAGGGGTGGGCATAAAAATGGGTTGGAGAGACAAAGTGAATTTTTGATTTAATGTAGAGGGCTGCACCCAAACTTTGACACTTCTAGAAAAACTAATGCACTGCTATTATACCACTTCATGGTAGGTTTTAATATTAATTTATACAGATTGTCAGTGTCAATTGAGGTCCTTTATCATGTTGGTGACACTAGCCTGTCTGTCACAGTTGTTATGGACGAAACATACAGCACGTCTCTGGACCATTTCAAGCATATTGATATACAGTACTTAGCTTCATGTGAGATCGCAAAAGATACATATTTCTGATGAGGTTGGACAAGGGCCAAGTATGCAGAATTCTTGATGGCTTTGGAACATTCTTTTATGTTTCGTTTCAATATACCGAATATTTGATTGACTTTTTGCGTACTTGTGAAAGTTTTATATGAGTAAGTGACTAAGCAACAACAGGGCCTGGAAATCTATCAGACTTTTTGCATACTTGTGAGTGTGTATATAGGTAAGTAGTGACTAAGCAACAACTCCATAACGATCGAACTTTTTGCATACTTGTGAGAGTGTAAAAAAGTGACTTAGGCAACGGCTAGTTTTCAGCATAATAATAACAATAATAATAATATGTCGGTCTTATATAGTGCTTCACGTATAAAGCCTCTTACTGCTTCACATTACTACCCCAGTCATTGGATCAAACATGTATGGAACACATACTCAGCTCCCTGGGAAGAATTCCATAATATTGCAGCTAGTAATCAGCGCAGTTGTGTTCGAACCTACCAGGTACCCACTTCTGGATGGAGAGAGGCAACCGTAGATAAAGTGCCTTGCACAAGGATACAAGTGGTTTGCACAGCGAGGGTTTCGAACAACTGAACACGAGGTTGGGAGTCAAAACCACAACCGATGTGCCAACCGCTTCTACATTACTTGTGACAATGTAGAGTAAGTGCAAACAACAGCATAATATCTATCAGATTTTTGTATAACTTGTGATATAGGAGAAAGACACTAGCAACAGAGAGGACTTTTAGTAAACCGTACATTATGAAAGAGTGTATATTGAGTAAGTGACTAAGCAATAGCCGGATTTCACCCATAAAAAAGACCTTTATCCATACTATAATGCCTTTCACATACTTGAAAAGCACCATTATGTAAGTGTTTCTGTTGTTAAATAAATTATATAATTACTGTATGTATGGGTATAATGATTCATTCAGAGAAGTCTTTGGACATAAACAATCAGAATCATTGTGAACCCAGTCTTTTATATTTCTTAGTCTAAAGGGCTATTGTCATGAGGGGTTTAAGATACAACAGTAATTTGCCAGATCTTACGTAAAAAGCTTTTTTCTTACGATATACGTATAAATGCACAAAATTCCAATTGTGTTTAAATGACAAATCTAGTTTCAGGCTTCGCAATTGTATAATATAAGGGTGGTTCTGAGGTGACTGAGTAATGATACGTATAAATATGGTATTAGAATTAACTGTAAATTCAATTATGTGCATTCTGAGATTGATGCACAACCGATCTGAAGAAACATGCAATACTTATGGCAGTTCTAAAGTGGTGAAAATGGCACTCTCAAACTTGACAATCATTGGTTCACTTTGAGTAGGCCTAAAATTATATAGCATACAACCTACAGTACTAAATAGCTACACAAGGCCTTTCATTGCTAAACTGCATAACCATATGTTTACATAACTGATTCTAAGAAATGATTAAATTAAATTTTAACATGAACCTAGAATGATGCTTCTATTGGATCTTGGTAATATAAATAACAAAATACTGATTTTATTAATCCCTTTTTGCAAAATTCTTTTTTTGTACTAAACGCAAAAATTACAAGAATAACAATCGAATGTATACTGGTAAAACTTATTGGTCGATTATGCAATCTTACATACTGTAGACCTACATAGACTCTTCATAGTATAGTAAATATCTGCAGACCACTACTGTATTATTTATAATAGATAAATCATAATATCAATTATACTTAAGGTTGAAATATATCTAGCCAAAAAAGTACAGCAATTATCAATGTTTACAAAGCTGGAAATTACATTATCAGTGTTTGTCACTCCCAAGTTATCAATGACTTGTATTCCTAGAAGTCTATTTATAGATAATAATTACAAAATTCTACTTGCTTCTAGTACCTGGGTACTTCATCACAAATAAAACTCAAAATTAAGAATTTACTAATAATACTGGCAATCCCAAATCATCTTGCATACCATGCCTCTCCCAACAAACTAAGGCATTAGCTTCTCTGGCCTACTGATGAGAAAGTAGTAGTGGCTCTAGAATATAGTCCTACAAGGGTACGATAAGGATCCAGAGGAAGGGGATAAGCCCTCTAGTGCCCCCAGAAAAAATCCCGAGGATTAAACCTTCTGGTGCCTACAAAATATTGGCAATTTTGTGCAATTTCTGCTCAGAAAAGTTTGAGAACACATTTATGTGAAATGAAGATGATTACACAAGAACCTAAGGATAAACTCAATTTAATGTATTACAGCTTGTAAGTAGAAGTGCTGATTACCTGTATGCTGGTTTGTGCATATCACTCAGAAGAATGAAGGATGGTACCAGAGTAAACAGATGAAGGAATACAGTATGGAAAGCTGAAGGTGTTAGAAATCACAAAGTTATCTAAGCTCCATATCAGGAGTCTGGATATAAGAGCTCTGAGATCTACCATCAAATGACAACAATACAACAATACTGTAAACATGTACATTAAATGTAAGATTTACTCCAAAATGTACAGTAATGTTTATAAGCCTATGTTTGGTTAGACTTCGTTTCCATCATAAAAGAAAAAAAGATCAAAGGTGGGTGATCATCATTACTCAGAAGGCAGTAAAATCCTTGATTTCTTTACACAGTAATTTATTATGTTTCGCAGCGTCTTATATTTATTTATTATACAATTCATTAATCTTATGATAAATGGAAGTGTGACCAAACTGAAAAAGGGGTATAGAAAATCAAAAATATTTTTGTATAATTCCATATTGACTTTATTCTTGATTCTTTTAGGGGTTGTATGAACTAGTGCATCGGGGTAACCTCTTAATAGTCTCCAAAGATGTACTGGGTTCTTTAAAGTGCACATGAGCCCTGGTCCTACGGTTTATAGTCCTTATCCGAGAAGACTTGTTCACCCAAAAGAACCATAGGCGAGCATGCCGTTCGAACCAGCGCCAATATTATGGCTGAAGGTTGCAGCACCCCTGCCTTAACAACTCGCCAATGTGATGTGTGATGTGCTTATGTATGGTCACTGACACGATGTGATGCTATCATAAAGTGATCACATTTACTATAGGCTTGTCAGATGTTTTTGTCAAATAAAATTTGATAGTTTGGAGAGGGCTTTAGTGCATCACATGTTCCATCTACTCGTATGTTTACTTGCAGTTTAAAAACGTGAAAAATATTTTTGAAACCCCATTTCTAATGCTAAATAACACACATTAAGGTCTAATCGGCTAACCTACTATCACAGTGGCCGGCTCCATGGCAAAAAACTTACATTTGTCGAAATTTCAAATTTAGCACTAGCATCCAAAAAAACCAGTGATTCAGTATTTTGACCAATTTCAGGTTTTTGCTGCTTATGCTATATGAGATTCTGGAAAACAATTCTTCAACTATCATTTAATAAATCTAATTTTTAAAATACACGCATCTAAGTTGAACTACTGAAAGCTGATTTCTCAGAACCTACTTGGCAGATATCAAATGATTTGAATACACAAGAATAGATCAGTTCTTGCCAAATAAACACCTTTTTAAAGATTAAAACCTGAAGAATTAAAAATATCCCAAAAAATCAACATATGTAAGATTTTGCCAAAGATGGTCACATCACCATGGAAACAGACTGGATAGTTAGTATTTCGATACTTGGAGCATGTATTATATTTGAGATTAATCAGTGGACCTTTCAGTTCAAATTCTGGCAAGTTCAAGTTGTTTGTAAAAAGAGTAAATTGTAAACTTACCAAGTCTTTATTGATAAAAAGTACTTTAATAATAGGTAAAATACAACTTTATGTCTGTACAGTGCAAGTGTGACTTGGAACGCTGCAGGCACAGACTTGATATTTATATGATGTTTACAAATGGTGACAAAATTTATTCATCACTACCTAATCCTGCTACAATACACAAACAATGCAGAAACTTTTTGGAGGGCATCTATTTATAGGTACATTGTAATGTAGATTGGGAAAAAGGTCATAAACAATGTATCCTAGTTGGCATCTATTTATAACTGTGCTGAAAACCTATTATAAAGTTCTAGTACAGTAAGCATGGCTGCTATTTACATTACTAATATAATATTTGTATTTAGATTTACTGAAGTGACACATTAAAAAAAATTCCAGAAAACTGTCGAGTACCGACTAATTTGTAATAAATGTGTAGCATATGAATCATTATTTCCAATTAAAATAACTATTTAAAAATACAAAATTTAGTGTTTGGATGCTTTAGCACTCATTCTTGAAGTCTCACAAAAAATTTTCTTTGCTTGCTTACCAGGCTCTGACATAATGAATTCTATATACAGAAAACAGTATAATTACGTTTTTTTTTAATAATTGGAACGGAAAATATATTTAGAGCTATATAATAACTTACTTAATAAAGTAAGCTTTTTAAATATGTAGTAGTATTAGCTCAAACACATACTGACTGCATTCTTGATTTTTCTTTGTTTTCTTTATTTTTTTAATTTTTATTTTTTTTTGGAGAATAAATATGGGTAAATTTACTAAGAACTATTAACAGTAAAAAGGTACAGTACTCTAAGTGTTTTAATAATGTTGATAACTGGAGCAATAGCAACAAGAACAGTATCAATTAAGAAAAGAATTATAACTTTGTTTGGTAGGATGCCTTAGCACCCTCTCATGGTTAAAATCTGGAAATGTCACAAAAAAAATTTGTTGTGCTATACTAGGCTGTGATGTAATGTATTCTATATATAGAAAACGGTATTATTTATGTATTTGTTAATTGGCATGGAAAATCTTTTAAGAGCTGGTATTATATTGTTAATAAAGCAACTTACTTAAAGTAAGCAACTTACAAACTGACTTTATTAGGTCTCAGAACACATTAGTACTCCTATATCTTTAGGCACAAACTTTTAAGACAATCCTTTCTTGTGTCCCCTATTCAGAATGGAATAGTCCTGCACTCTTGTGAAAAATTGAGCCCTAGTAAAATCTTTTGCTTGCTGATGAAAACTCAAATAGGTTGTGAAAACATATAAAATAAATTCATAATTTTTTTTTTATTGATTGACTACAATTACCATTTCTGGGAAAGTGGTAACTGACCCTGCTTGTTTTAAAATTGAAAACTTAAAAAAAAATAATAAATAAATATGTGCATGAAATGCCCAGGGCAAAATGTATAAGAACAAGTTGGGACTTGAAGCAGATTAGCTGACTAACAGTGGGATAACACACTAAAGTAAAAATAGAGTTCTATTTTTATTAGTCCTTTCATAGTGCCCATTTGTAGAATAATTATGAGTTTTTAGCATAATTTTGACCCCGTAGCATATAGCATTAATGCTACACATAATTTCATCAAAATGTAGCATAAATGTAGCATAATTTAGAATTGAAAAATAACTTAATTTTAAAAGAAATAAATTGAAAATAAAAGTATGAGTGCCACTTCTGAGCATCTAGAGGTGCCTATTCTTTAAATTTTCTAACCTCACCTAAAAAGGCAATTAGGTAAGGGGGTGTTGCAGCGAATGTGTTAAATCTATTTTTTACCACTGCATACATGTCGGGCTGCGTCGGCCGACGCTGTCTAAGCTGGCCTTAATTTCCCCCCACCACGCACCCCCCACATAATTTTATTTGTCACAGTGGCCACATTGCCTGCCCCTCTAGACTTCATTCAGATAACAAAGGATCAAACACAGAAAAGGCATAACAGTAGTCTATTAAACAATAACTTCACTTTATTGCTCAAAATACCCAACAACCTCATAAATGACCAAGTTCAATTTTCACTTTCTTACTATTTAGGGACTGAATAACATTTTAAAAATGAGAAAGTATCTTTAAAAAGCCCCAGGGGAATTTCAAAGGCCTAAATAATTTAATGAAGTGCTTTCTTAATGGAAGAGGTACGGTAGAAATGTCCTTGTTTTATTTTGAATTCTACTCAAAAACACAAAGCGGTTGAGGAAGCGATGGTATAAATTCAAAAACAGCTTATAAATGAAAGCTCTACAAGATTTGAATTGTCCTAATATTTCAAAGGTATTAATAATAGGTAATAGTGAAGCAGCACACAGAGACTAACTTTGAAGATCATGTATAACATGAGCTTTTCAGTCTAACACTTCTATACAACTACTTTCACATTTAAAAAAAAAAATAAAAAAGGTGACATCTCAACCATCCTACCACCAGGTACCTAAATACCCCTGGATGCTGCGAGCAAATGTACCAAAACTGCCATTCCAAGAATAGAAGTGAAAGAGTTTCCGCAATAAGTAAAGTTTCTAAAAACCCTAATTCCATGAGAGTCAAAGCTGATCTGATTTTTTATTTTTTCTACAACTTAAAATAATGATATAGCAAATGGCACCAACATGCCATAGTGTATCAAGATAGCAAAACTTAAGTTTAAGGTTAGGGTCAAGCCAGCTCCACCAATTAAAAAATACATCATATTTTTTATATCTTTTAGACCACAATATTATTTATACGGATTGGCAATCAAAATAACATTATTTGGATAGGCAAATTGTTATTTTTGGTCCGACGATCTCATCGTGGTGTCGAACAATGGGGGGTGGGGGAGGATACGATGCTTAATCCTTCATTTCATTTCATTTCTAATTTTAACTGATAGCCAATCTTTCCAGTGTGCTTTCCCACAGCATTGTTTTTTTCCCAGCATTTTGCCTTTTAATACAGCTCCTCCCTGACCCACCTATCTTGTTTTCAAAAGCACAGTATGCTGTACATTTTTTACAACGATAATGGCAAAATTCAGCAAATTGGGTTGAGTTTCGGAAAGGTGGCCACGGACTCGCCAAGCTGGGTTTCGGCAAACAGGGTTTTAACAAACTGGTCGGATACGAGTCTACACTATATAGGGCGGGTGTCAGCTAACTATATCTTGCACTAAACTTGGGCACAGACTAGCCAACTTTATGGGTACGAGCTAGCCAAAATTATGGGTAGGAGTTGTGGGTACAAGTTGGCATGGGTACAGGTTAGCCTGTCGGTATTCCAGGCTAGAAGGTCCTGACTCCTAGGATTAGTTAGACCTAGGCCTAGTTATGCCTCTAGGCCTAGGGCCGCCAGGCTAGAGCTAGGCCTAGTTCTAGGATAGGCTTTGCCGCAGGACTACAAATCCTAGCCTACTCTTAATTGCCCTAGAGAGTTAGTTTGTGTCCTCACTTCCTTACATTGAAGCATTGAACAAGCTCTAACGTAGGTCTAGCTAGGCCTAGACATTTTCTTACCACTAGGCTTATCAGTAGGTTGTTCCACTCTGCCGCATAAAGGTAGGCCCAACGCAGTGTGTCAACATCAGCTTGTGTTGTCGACACATTCACCCAGACCCAGACAACAGTGACTGTGCCTGAAAATTCACTAAGTAAACGTAATAGTTCATGACACCACTAGGCCTCTGTCTACTTACCAAACGTGTATTAGACGTTGAAAATATAAAAACCATATCTTTTTAATAGTCAATCTTTAGCTAGGCCCTAGGCTATAAGTGGTATACACAACAAATCGCATGAATGTGCAATACGTTCTCACTTAACTCTCGCCCTCTCACACAACTTCCGTTCAATATTGGAGGTCGCGTTTAAAGTTCGTTTCCAATTTGCTTCAACGCGTCATTAGATTTCGCAAACAATATAAATTGATTTCAGCGATATTTTATTATTATTTTGATACCTCCTTCATGGTACAAGTGACACAGACTGTCAACCTCTGAAGGGACACATCTATCAAAGAACACAATTATTGATCCAAATGGTGTCTCCATAATTAATTCTGTTTTTTCGCTTATCCTCCCAATAAAGTGAAATTCCCGGCAATTATTTATCAAGTACTGTGATAGCATATAGGCCTATATACTTTTTGTGACACGGAATTAGTACATCACATTATAGTGTATAATGTTATAATGAGTCAATGTATCAATTTTAATTATTGTAGTTTTTCTGTATTCCGTAATAGTACTGTATACCGTAACGAATCATTGGTCATTTGTTTCATTTTCGCTTCTGTCGGAAATTACTATCTCTGTTCACTTCAGTATCCAAAGTGCATAACATTTAAGTAATTTCATATTTATCGAGCCTTTAAAAGATTTATTGTAATTAAAAATTTTGCAAGGTTAATATTCTATTTCTTATAATTATTATATTCACTCATTCAAGTCTATTTTTACTTCAGAACCTTGATGTGACTATTTATTAGTCATCATTAACACAATTTGCGTTTAGCTTACACCACCATGGAGTTACAATTATTTATATTATTTTATTAAAATAGATGCTCAACTCAACGTAACTTCTACCCCGACTTTTGCTTTCCAAAAGTCTACAAAAACAGAAACACGAATTGGATTACTAACGGAATTTCTCCGGAATTAGAATGTTCCAGGTCGGAATCCTGGAAAGAGCGTTTCCTCATCGCTATTTCTGCGTTCGTGAGTCGACACCGTCTTCTGTATGTTATCGATTTATAATGACCTACAACATAGAGGCTTTCACCAGTTTAGTTAATCAAGTTTCTCGCCATTTATTTATTCGAGTAGGCCATGGAGTTATAATTATTCTAATTATTTAATTTTATAACTCCATGAGTAGGCCTATACAATGGTGTAAAAACAGCTGTCGTGGCTTAATATCAAAGTACTGTACAATAATATCAGTTTTTATTACTCTTTAAACGTTAAAGTGTATCTACAGGGACCACTCCTGATGGAGTGAAATAGAAAGGGTGAGATTTCACTCTATTCGGAGTGAATTTTAGTAATTTTTCACAATTTTAAGAATACTATTCACTCATTTAAGAGTGAATTTTCACTCGAGAATGAGTAAAATTAGGGTGGTCCCTGTAGGCCCTCTTTTCAAGTGAAAATTCACTCT